GGCTTGGGTTTGCCCAGGACGCGCAGCACCTCGGCGTTGGTGGGGTTCTGGCCCAGGGCCCGCAGCACGTCCCCGCACTGCGCGTAGGTGATCTTCATCTCTCCGGTCGGGGTCCGGTCAAACAGCGAAAAGGCCTCTTTAAACTCTGCAGAGAGAAGATCGGGCTGCACCCCCCTGGGCCGGGTGAAGGCGGTGGCCGGGGTCAGAGCAGCCTCCACCAGCTCTTTAGAGCAGGCCGATGTGGTTGATAAAATATTTCAACATTTCCCTTCGGCCATCATCCCAGCCTCTCCCTGGAGCCCACCCTCACTGTTTTCTGACAACTAAAGAGACAGCCTGGTGCCTCTGTGACCTGTCCAGCGCTGGGCCTGGGATCGCTGTCAGTCGGTTGTCACATAATTTCCATGTCTTCCGTCCCAGCCCTCACCTCTTCCATCCACCCATCCTTCCCTGATGTAGGTGAGGTTCCGGACTGTTGAAAATGGCAGGGAAGTGAAAATAGCACTGGTTCAGGAGTCAGGATTCTGGGGCTCTCATCTGGGCTTTGCAGAGTAGCACAGGGTAAGCCAGCTGGGTCTCGCTTTCCTTGTGCACCCCAGGGGGAGCATGCCCCCCCCACCCAGCCTTCTCAGTTACTGGGAGTGTCAAAGGAGGTGGCTGTATGTGGAGGCACTCTGCAAAGTGATAAGACTTGTTCAAATGTCAGCTAATATCAGTACTGCCTGTTCCAGGCTGAAAGGGGCCTTCCCCTCCCTGGGCCAGACAAAGCGACTTGGTGGAAACAGCCAGACCATCCCACTCTGCCACCGACCCGCACATGGCCTTGGGCAAAATACTAACTTCTGAGGGCCCTCCTTTTCTTAGCTGTAAGTGGGGATACAATGTCCACCTGAGTGGGTTGGGGTGGGGAAGGGAGTGCAGAGCACAAATGGTGGTTATTACTATACTTCCTGGTTTTCCAGCCAGCTCAAATCTATAGGGACTAGACTCCCGGCAGGGACCAGACTCCCAGCAGAGACCAGGGCAGCTGTCCAAGAGGCAAAGCTGAATTAAGGCCCTCCTGGGCTCTGGCAAAGAACGTTAATTCCTCATTAATTTGGATTCAAGTAATTCATTACTGGGGATAATTTAGGCTGGGAATGGCATTGAAGTTACCATATGCTATCCACAGAGAAAAGGTTTACTAAGCAGATTAACAACATAAACCAAAGAAGAATATGTAAACTACTTAGGAGAAAAGCCGTTTTTAATCCTCTCAGTACTTCAGGAACACATATTTCCTTAGAGGCTGCATATGGATTATTTACAAATCATTCCACATATCAAAGCAGGTTCCTCCAAGACTTTTCCTTGCAACTCTTTATTAGGCTTTGTATGAATTTCAAGACATGAAAATGCTCATTGTTCACAGTACTGAATAATTGAGTTCAAATGCAATTTCCATTGCTAACTAGCTGTGTGACCTTGGGCAAGTAAATACTTAATGTCTATAAACCTCTTCTCTTCTATAAATGGCTCCTACACCACAGGATTCTTAAGTTACTTTCAAATTAAAATCAATCATTTATGTAAAAAAGTCTTAACACAATGAATGGCTCAGAGTAAATAAATGCTCAAACAATACTATTAGTATTATCTTACGGAGTTTAATCCCAATTTTACCATTTAACTGTGTGACCTTGGCCAGGTCACTTAATCTTGATAAACCTTGGTTTCCTCCTCTGTAAAACAGAAATAACACTGACCTCACAGCTTTGTTAGAAGGGTTTAATTTTTTTTTTCTTTTAACTTTAAAACAATTGGCCTGGCTTCTGGCACAAATTCAGTGCTCAATAAATATATATTTGTTAATTGAACCTAAACTCGGACTTTTTGATCTTTTCCTCATTCATTCAGAAGAGTGAGGTCCGATTTAAAAGAAGAGTCTCCTCATAAAAGACGAATGTAATGATACTTAATAGGGGGCTGGAATAGGAGGAAAAAAGCAATAAGAACAACAATGGGCTAGGCTCGGAGCTAATCATTCTGCATGGATTACTTCATTAATATACAAAAACCTCAGTATTATTATCCTCATTTTAGGCCAGTGTAGATGTCACTTCTGACCAGCTATTAAGGAAGCCAAAGAAATGCTGAGGAGGAAAAAGAAGGACAAGACCTGCTGTCCGTGCTAAAGCCCCAGCTTGCTGGGAGGCCTGGTACACACATAAAAACCAAGCACTGAAGTTTAGCATTGCTACAGTAAAAAACAAAGTCAGTATAATCCGAGGTAGATGAGAGATGATGTTTATGGGCCCAAAAGAAACCTTCTCTCAATAGTCTGTAGTAGGCAGCTGCTTGCTAAAGCAACGAGCAACGGTGTTAACCCCTTTCTAGAAGGACATGGAAATCTGCAGAGGGACCAGAGAAGGAAGCCAAGGTTTAGAAGCTAGTTACTATGAGAAGAAAAGCATAAGAGAAATTTGGGCCATATCACCTGGAGAATCTAAAGCTACAAAGAGGTTTGGTAACTATCTTCAAATAGATGGAGGGTATCTAGAGGATGCTGAACAGTCACAGAATTTCTGAATTGAAAAGAACCGCACTTGGCAGATGAGAAAATTAAGGTGTTTTTTTTGTTTTTTGTTTTTTTAAAGATTTTTATTGGGGAATTGGGGGAAGGGGAACAGACAAGTTGCTATCCTTTTGTTCTTCAGTCTAGTTGTGGAGGACAGTGCTTCACTGGCCCAAG